CAACACCCCTGCTCTAGGCCACCTTCCTCCCTCAGCACCCCTGCTCTAGGCCACCTTCCTCCCTCAGCACCCCTGCTCTAGGCCACCTTCCTCCCTCAGCACCCCTGCTCTAGGCCACCTTCCTCCCGCAACACCCCTGCTCTAGACCATCTTCCTCCCTCAGCACCCCTGCTCTAGGCCATCTTCCTCCCTCAACACCGCTGCTCTAGGCTATCTGGTGCCTCAGGAACCAGGTGGTCCTGGCATTCTGAGGACACTGGAGGTAGCAAGCCTTTTGGGGACCCACAGCAGAAACTGACCCCTCAAGGTGATGTCAACAACGTGCTTACCAAACCAAATAAACATTTCTCAGTCTTTGTCTAGCTGGTCTTGCTTAGAATTTGACCTTGTTAGAACTCCGGCTTCTGAAACCCTCCTGTCTTCCAGTTCCTCCTTCTGCCTGTTCCTCCCCAGTCCTTTCTGTCCTTCCACCTTTCTGGTCCACCTCCTGTGCCTGGCACGCCCCTCCTCACTTGTACTTTCCCCAGGTAATGCCGTCCATCTCAGATATCAGTGGAGAAATAATCTACCGCCCTCAAATCTTTATCTCCAGCCCAAACGCCCACAGGTCCCAACCCAGCTGTGCAGGGTGGACAGACACTCCTGCTGCGAAGGTCTCACGGCAGTACACCCTCGTCACGTCCCACATTAACCTCATCAAGCCAGTGGCCCACTCCTCCTCAGTCCCCCACGTGGTGGCCCCACTACCCTTGCTATTCTAGACTCTTCTTCCATTGCAACCTCACATACGTCAGAACCTTTACAACCCAATGAGACAACAAGTTTAGTCCAGTTCCTCGTAACTACATCTAGAATGCATCTTCTCTGCTTAAATCCAGACCCTAATCTTTGGCCAGTGTCATCCAACCCATCTTCTACACTGTCACCACCGTTCACAGCCAATCAGGTCACTCCTGGGCTTAAAACCCCAACCTCTTGATGTGGCCCAAGCTCTTCCAAATTCGGTCAATGATACAAAGACTCAAGCAGTTTCTGCACCTGTGATTTAAGCAGCACCCCTGTCTCTGGCTTCTGGTTACCTCTATAGCACACCACACCCACAGGTGGGGGAGAAAATATCAAAATGCGCTTTCGAAGTAAGGCAAATTTCCAGAGGATGAGGATCTGTTCTCCAAAGAACTTAATAAACTGAGACATGCAGCCAGCTGGGTGTGTGATCTGAAAAAATTGAGGGGAATAGGGAGGAAGAGGAGTGGAGGAACAGCTTGTTAGAAATATAGCAAAAGATATCTAATGCCCCCCACCGAAATTCTAAAGTACAGCCAAACAGATACATTAAAGGATGTTTATTTCCACACAAAATGATGCTTTTCACTTTAGAAGTCTTACCATTAAACTGGATTTCTATAGTATAATGGCTTCCTGATACACTGATGTTTGAGTTTAGGGATCATTATTTTACTCAGAATGGTGCAAAGAAAACAAAGCTGAATACAAATTTTAAAAAATCAGAATAAAAGTGTCTCTAAAGACACAGTCTGCTTCAATAAGAAAACTCAAATCGAAAACATTACTAAGCACTGTAAGTAATAACATGATGAACACACAGTCCCCAGTCAGATCCCAAATCTATGGGGACTGCTACTGTGCAAAGTGAGGTGTCTGCAGAAGTCACAGGTAGGTAGGAGGCCCTGGCATAATAATCCCTGCTGCACTTCATCTCTGTCCATGAAGTCTCACTCACTCTGTCGCCCAGGCTAGAGTGCTGTAGTGGCGTGATCTTGGCTCACTGCAACCTCCACCTCCTGGGTTCAAGAGATTTTCCTACCTCAGACTCCCAAGTAGCTGGGATTACAGGCATGCGCCACCATGCCCAGCTAATTTTTGTATTTTTAGTAGAGACGGGGTTTCACCATGTTGGCCAGGCTGGCTTTGAACTTCTGACCTCAAGTGATCCGCCCACTTTAGCCTCCCAAGTTCTGGGATTGCAGGCGTGAGCCACCGCGGGTGGCCCCACTCTTCCTTCCGACACTGACTGCTCAGGTCTGGCAACCCCTGAATTGCCTTCCAGGAACCCTGTGCCAAGGAGTATCAGAGGGGTTAAGAGCATAAGCTCTGATCCCAGGAAAAGCTGAATTCCAATCCCGGCACTGCCACTCACTAACAGGGAGATCTGGGGAAAGTTCGCTCATGTTACCGGTTCTCTACCCTTAACTGTGAAATAAGGAACCATCACCTACCTCACAGGGTTTTAAGGACTGCCTGAGACAAAACATGAAATAGCACATAAAAATAGCCAATATGGGGCAACCACTGCTGTTACTGGCAAAACAGAAAGGCTTCAAACCCTGTGCCTCGTGAGCTTTGTGAAAGGTCACTTCCATGCTGATGTGTCAGATGTAAGGGAGATAGGCAAGACCACTTCTGAGAGAGGCACCAACTCCCGGGCTGCAGGCTAGGGTTTCACAACTACCAGCCTTTGGGGGCACCTATGCCCGAGCCTTGAGGCAGCCTCTGCATTCTGCCTGTCCAGGCCAGGGCTGTCCTGGGCCTTCCGAAGACGTGGCCACACCACCCGAAGAGGATTTCCCTTTCCAAGGCGCCACTCCTGCACTGATACCATTCCCCTACCACATGCCAGGATAAAGGTGACCCTGTGCTGGGCATGCCATTTGCCACCCATGCCTACTATTCTGCCACCACATCCCAAATCGTGAGGAGGAGAGGCATCAAGTGACCAAGGCTGGTCCCATCCCTCCAATCACTGTCTCTCATCAAAGTCTAACAGCAACCAGAAAAGGAAAGGGCGCCAAAGCACACCCGGTTCCTCCCAGCGCTTCCACTGCTTATCTTCAAGCACCCAACTGTTCTTCCACTGCACGGAGGCCAGGTGGGGCTCACCCAATGTTTATTTTATAGGCTAGTGGGAGAAACAGGCAAACAAGCTTTTAAAATACAGCCTGATGGGAGCCGTGATGTGAGAAGAATGGGGGTTGGGGGAGCAAACTGGACGGTGCCTAATCCCATTCTAGAAGAGACAAAAAAGACTTCCCGGAGGAAGTGATGTTGAAGCTTTGACATAAAGATGAATCCGAGGGAAGGTGTTCACACACAAAGGATGCAGGTAAGAGGGAACATGGCCCTTCTTGGGACCTGCAAGTAGTTCAGGTCCTGTGTCCAGGCCCACACCAGGGAAGCAAAGCAGGCAGCCAGCACAGGGCTACCTCCTCTCTTCCAACAGTCAGCTCAAGAGACTTCTTAACCCTCTTCACTCCACCAGGCTCACTGCACATGCAACAGAAATCTCTCCTGCTTTCATTTGAATCTTTCCCTTTTTTCAGCCTTGTTTCTCTGTGGCTTTACAGGTAACTCTCTTTTCTTGATGCCTCCAGCGCTTGCCTTCATGTTTTCTCTCCAACCTTTCAAGTCCACACTCCAGCCTCTTTTCACTCGTTTCTTTTTACTCCCTAACCACTGTCAGCTCAGTCTCCATAGTAGGCTCTGATATGCCTACCACTGGGGAAGCCCTCCAGCCTGGGGCCCAATCTCCTCCCCTATATCCCCCTTCCACTCCCCCATTTTCCCAAGGGAAGCATTTAGCTGCCGCATTTGGACCTCTCAGAGAGGTATTCTTCTTCCCTCTGGTTCCTTTCCAGTTTATTTTTTTCCCTCGGAAACATTCCTATATCTGACTCCTACATTAAAAGCTTACTTCTTTAAAGTTATTTTTCTTGAGATGGAGTCTTGCTCTGTCACCCAGGCTGGAATGCAGTGGCACGATCTTGGCTCACTACAGCCTCCGCCTCCAGGGTTCAAGCAATTCTCCTGCCTCAACCTCCCGAGTAGCTGGGATTACAGGCACACACCACCACGCCCAGCTAATTTTTGTATTTTTAGTAGACACAGGGTTTCACCATGTTGGCCAGGCTGATATCAATCTCCTGATCTTGTGATCCACCTGCCTTAGCCTCCCAAAGTGCCGGGATTACAGGTATGAGCCACGCCTGGACTAAAGTTTTTATTTATACATGTGTTGATGTTGTAAAAATTCATTGAATTATATACATATGATTTTTTAACTTATTTCTGTAAAGTGTTATATTTCAATAAAAAGTTTAAAGATATATATATATACACACACACACACACACACACATTATTTTCCATACATAACAAGTATTATTATATCATATGTGCTATTTTTAAGTGATGTCTTTTTTTTTTCCTGGCCCCTGTCTTTTTTATACATATAAGCCTTACCCTACCCCGTCCCATACTTTACCTCATCCCAGGGAGTACATGTCTTAATAACCTCATATACACCCATCAACAGCTTCCATGTTTGTGTCTGGGTGTGTATGTGTCTCTATCTAAACAAAGACTGTGACTGTTTAACAACAGTGTAATCATATCACATACACAGCCAGCTGGCCCTATGGATCCCTGATACCACATCCTCAGATTCAGCCAACTGCATGCAGATCAAAAAAACTTGGAAAAAGAAACAATAATAAAATACATGTAAAAAAGAAACACAATGTAACAACTATTTGCATAGCATGTACATTGTATGAGGTATTGTAAGCAATCTAGAGATGATTTAAAGCACAGACGGTCCCTGATTTACCATGATTCAACTTATCACGTTTTCAACTGTATGATGGGTTTATTAGGATGTAGCCCCATGGAAAGTCAAGAAGTTCCTTAAGACTTTAACGGGATTATGGTTTCTACTGAATGTGCATTGCTTCTGCACCGTCGTAAAGTCGAAAAATCATACATTAAGTGGAACGATCATAAGTCAGGGACTGCCTGCTGCGTGGCCAGCATTAAGTGTACTTTTGACTTACAATGTTTTCAACTTACAATGGGCTTATGGGGTGGAACCCCACGGTAAGTTGAGGAGCATCTGTATATGGGAGGAAGCACATAGGTTACATGCACATACTACACCCTACTATGGGGACTTCAGCATCTGCAGATTTGGGTATCTGAGGAAGGTCACCTAGAACCAATGCCCTGCAGATACCAAGGGATGATGAGTTTTCTGCGCCTTGCTATTCTCACACAAATTAGAGCTTGTGGTCCTTCCATGTCACCTTCTTATGCTCTAATTCACTATTCACCACGGCTTTTAACACATAGCCTTTCTAGTTTTCTACCACGTTGAACAATGTTGAATTAAATAATGTTTCACATATATCATTCTGGTGGATAGATCCCACAGAATGAGGCTGCTAAGACAAAAGTCACATGTTTGACTGATTGATTTAGAAACGAAGTCTTGCTCTGTCACCCAGTCTGAAGTGCAGTGGTATGATGTTGGCTCACTGCAACTTCTGCCTCCCAGGTTCAAGCAATTCTCCTGCCTCAGCCTCCCGAATAGCTGGGATTACAGGTGCCTACCACCATGCCTGGCTAATTTTTGTATTTTTAGTAGGGACAGGGTTTCACCATGTTGGCCAGGCTGGTCTTGAACTCTTGACCTCAAGTGATCTGCCCATCTTGGCCTCCCAAAATGATGGGATTACAGGCGTGAGCCACCACGCCCGGCCATGTCTTTTTATTTTGATGTGTTGACAAACTGTTTTTTAGAAAGAAGACACTCCACATTTCTACCTGCAACCATGATAGTACCCTTTTCCCTGCATCTCCTGGGGTCTAACAGGTATGTTCATGAGCTATCCTCAAAAGCATAGGCAATTTTCTTTTTATCCCTTAGTCCCTCATCCCTGGACTCTTACGGGAAGGAATACACGTACATTTAGGTCAGATGCTGGTCACCTCCCTGTGTATTTGTTGATAATTCCAACAGAAATTTAACTCTGAAGGGAAAAATGGGCCCAAGTTATAAGCAGACAGAAAGAAAACAGGACTCAGGTCAGTGCAAGTCCAGAGTACCTCTAATGGCCCTCTGACCATTTCTTAATGACTGTCTCTCAGCCTATGCTATGGGCTTGGGGAAACCTCCAAATGACATTTCCTAAACTCACATGCCAATTGGCTTCCTGTTAGATTTCTTCAATGGAGAGCGAGGACTGCAGATTGAAAGGCAGAAGGAAATCTCTTCAGTTTCTTTCTCTGGCTAGTATTTCTCCAGCAGCAGAAGACACCTGTGACTCCAGCCTCCAGCGTTCCTTAGCATGCACAGCACAGGTAGAGCCACACCTCCTGAGAGGTTCCAGCATAGATACGTAGTGCCTCCCTCAGAGATCTGAGCACTGGCTGTGCAGGGACCCATCCTGCAGGCTCCCATGATTTTGATCACGCGGCTTCTGTTGCTTTGTTACCCCAACCCTAGGGGAGGGTGACAGGCAGCCTCTAAGATAGTCCCCAGTGATCCCCGCCTCTTGGTATTTACAGCCTTATGCAATCCTCTCTTCCTCTTGAGTAATTTGCTTCTAAGAAAATATGGTGACATTGCAGGGCTGTCACTTCCATGATTAGGTTACAAAGGGTTCTGACTTCCGTCTTGCTAGTATACTCTCTTACTGGCTTAGATAAGGCAAGCCCGAATACTGGAGAGACCCATGTGGCTAAGAACTGAGGGAAGCCCTCAGTTAACAGCCAGCAAGGTATTGAAGCCTTCAGTTCAAAAAAGCCCCCAAGAAATTTGATCTTGCCAACACCCACATGATCTTAGAGGTCGATACCTTCCCAGTCAAACCTTCAGATGAGCCCCCAACCCTGGCTGATACCATCTCATGAGAGATTATGACATAGAGAACCTGGTTAAGCCATGCTGGAATTCCTGACTTACAGAAGCTGTGAAATAATAAATATGTAATACTTTAAAACCATTAGTTGGGGGATAATTTGTTACACAGCAATAGAAGACTACAGGGTGTTAGGCTATTAGCTATAATTACTAATATATTGGTTACCCACTCCTTTTTTACTCCTTCAGCCTTCCAACTCCTATATTACTGATTTCCTATATTAAATTAGTTTGAATTATCTAGCATGGTCTTTTTTCCCCCGTAAGTCCCTAATTAGTATTTGTTAGGATTCAAGTTCCAGGTCTACTATTAAAGGTTCTCTACAATCTAATTCCAACCTATTTCTCCAATCATCTCTCTCAGGGCCAGCTGACAAACATTTAATCCCAGCCAAACTAGTTTGCTCATGTCCCATGAACTTGTGTTTTTCCATGTCCATATCTCTGTAAGGACAGCGGAGTGGGGCAGGAAACATGCACTGGCTGTGGCACCAGACCTCTGTTTAAATCTTGGCTCTATCTCCTATTAGCTATAAGACCTAAAGCAGGCTGGGCACGATGGCCCACACCTGTAATCCCAGCACTCTGGCAGGCCAATGCGGGCAGGTCACTTGAGTTCAAGACCAGCCTGGCTAAGATGGTGAAATCCCTGTCTCTACTAAAAATAAAAAAATTAGTTGGGCGTGGTGTAGGTGCCTGTAATCCAAGCTACTCAGGAGGCTGAGGCAGGAGAATTAGTTAAACCCAGGAGGCAAAAGTTGCAGTGAGCTGAGATTGTGCCACTGCACTCCCGCCTGTGTGACAGAGCAAGACTCCGTCTCAAAAAAGGCCTAAAGCAAGTCACTAGCCCTTTATAAGCCTTGGTTGCTTTAGCTGGGAAACAAGGATTAAGGCCGGGCGCGGTGGCTCACACCTGTAATCCCAGCACTCTGGGAGGCTGAGGCAGGTGGATCATGAGGTCAAGAGATTGAGACCATCCCGGCCAACATGGTGAAACCCTGTGACTACTAAAAATACAAAAATTAGCTGGGCGTGGTGGCATGCACCTGTGGTCCTAGCTACTTGGGAGGCTGAGGCGGAAGAATCGCTTGAACCCGGGAGGCGAGGTTGCAGTGAGTTGAGATTGCACCACTCCAGCCTGGCGACAAAGCAAGACTCTGTCTCCGCCAAAAAAAAAAAAAAAAAAAAAAAAAGGATTAAAAAAACATTTACTTTAAAGAATGCTGCAACAAGTATAGAGAAATAGCTGGCACAATGCCTAACTCCCCAGAAGGTGCTAAGAAAGTGACAGACCATGGTTCTCACTGCTGTTCACACCTTTCCTGGTTCTGGAATCAGCATTTCTCACTCTCCACCTAGGCAAATACCCAGGGGCCGCGTCTTCTCCCAAGGCACCTCCCAGAGTTCTCCCCTGGACTCTTGGCATAATTTCTCTACCAGGGGAGCCCTAGGTTTCCATGGAAATATCTTGTGACCAACCACAGGGGAAGGAGAAGGAAGAGAAAGAGGAGATTCATGTTCTTAGTCATATTTGCACCCTTCCGACACCTAACGCTTCACTGGGGGTTTTGCTAACTGTAAACAGGCATATTCTCGTACCAAAGCCAAAGTACTTCAGAAACAAATACAAAATGAAGTAAAATTAAAAGTATCTTAGCTAAGAAATGTCATACTTATTCATCAAGCGCTTCACTTCATCTTTAGTTCAAATGTCTAGTGTTAAAATAACAGAAGAAATTAACAGAATTAAATCCATCTTTTCACAACTCGCCTATCATACTCACCTTAATACAATGATTACAGAAGTGTCTAGAAAGCATATTGTTTAAGATAACTTGCCTTGTGTTTTAAACAAACCCAAATGCTTATGCTGCAACTCTATCAAAAGCAGACATTTTGTATGATCCAAAGACGTACTTTTTCTATTCATTAAAAATTAATCAACAGCTACTATTCCCAGATACAGATCAGTATCATGTAAGAAGAGCAAGGCTAACCTCACCTTCATCTCAGGGTACATGTATCGGTGGATAGAAGGCAGCCAGTAGACAGGTGGCAGGCTGCTGCCTCTTCCAGGACCAGCATGGAGCACCCCCTTTTTGTCCTCGTAGAAGGCAGCCAGATGAGAGTAATGTCCTGGCATCTCCAGCTGATGCCTGCAGAAAAACACATGCATGCATGCATGCACACACATGTGTGTGCACACACAGTGAGAACAGACCTGGTCACAGCTCTGCTCCCACTTCTACCCCTTCCCCTCGCAAAGGCCATAACACTCACGGCAAAGGCCCTGACATACTCCAAAGATCCCCATCTGGAGGTTGCTTAGGTCACCTCCTTTGATGCTACAGAGGATCCTTAGGAAAAGTTCAAATATGGGCCTGAAACTCCCTGACAGCACCATGGAACACATTCTTTTTCTCATGGGAAACAGACAGAATTAACAGACTATGACTAATGTCTATTGTTCTTAAGCAAGGTACGCCAGAGACTGGGTGCCACTTCCCAGAGAATGGCTGCTTCCTGTGAGAAGGGCCAGCTTGGAAGCCTAAAATCCCCTGCTTAAAGCCGCTCTTTGTTTAGCGAACTCACGCTTGCCTGCTTGCTTTGTTGTTGTAGAAGAATACTGAGAAGCTTACTCCCAATGTCTCAAATAAGCAAAAACAATTATTATTGGATGTCACCAGGGCTCATAATTTGTGCATCAAGTATAACAATAAAGAAATAAAAAGCATCAGAATCTCTTCTCTGCCAGCCCCACCAGCTTGGGTTGCAGAGCCTGGCTGTGGCTGGCCTAGCTAGCTGATCCCAGACTCCAGAACCCAGCAGGCAGCACCAACATGATGGGCCATTTGGACAGCGGAAAATCCTGCCCCTGAGTGGAACACAGGAGCACTGTGGGGACTGTCTCTGTTTAATGGAGGTGTTATAGGTTGAATTTTGTCCCCACAAAAAAGATGGGGTCCCAGTACCTCACTCAGAATAGGGCCGTATTTGGATAGCATCTTTACATAGGTAATCAGGTTCAAATGAAGTTACTGGAATGGTCCCTAGTCCAATATGAACGCTGTCCTTATAGAAAGGGGACATTTGGACAGACACACACACATAGGGCAAACAGCAGGTAAACATGAAGACAGAGACTGGGATGGTACATCTCCAAGCCAAGGAACCCCAAAGATTGCCAGCATCTACCAGCAGCTAGGGGAGAGGCCTGGAACAGATACTCCCACACAGCTTCGGAGGGAACTCACACTGCTGAGACCCTGACTTTGGGCTTCCAGCCTCTAGAACTGTGAGACAGTTATGTTTCTGCTGTTTTAAGCCACCCAGTCTTTGGCACTTTGTTATGCAGCCCCGGAAAAGCCCTAATTGAGGGAGGAAGAGAAGGCGCCAAAACCCTCTTAGCCCATCTTTATTTTCTCAGTGTTCTACAATTTCCATCAATCAATGAACAAAAAGCAAAATATAGCTTCACTGAGCAAGGGAAACATCCCTAATTATGGTTGGCCCTGGAACAGCAGTGATTAAAAATAGGCACTCCCCGCTGCCACGCTGCCTCTGCAAACTGCCACTGTGGCTTACTCCAAACTATGCCACAAACTGCTCAGAGTCAAGATTTTCATCGACCAACTATAGCATGCTATTCTCCACCCATCTCCACTCCAGAGTGATTCACAGCTCTTATGACAAAGCGATGACAAGAGACCTTCAGACAAATTTGTATTTTAAAAAGAAACAAAAATCATCACAATATTCATATAATGATTACTAACATAAGATGGATGATAGCTCCAATTTCATGGCTCCTATACATTTTAAGCTTTGACAAAGAGGTAGTGATGTCATAAAATAACAAATAACTAGTTGGGAGGAGGGTGCTTATAATCATTTAGCTCACTTTTACAAATGATCATGAGCTAGATAAGAAACCCGTGGTGGCTAAGCTGTGTCTGACTATTCCGAGAAGATGGCAGATTTCAGATACTTTTTAGGGATGTTTGTTAAACTGATGAAAGTTTGATTCACAGAAAATCACACAAAGGCAACTATGTTCAAAGGTGTTTTCATTAGGATGGAATTTCCCTAAAAAGAACATTGAGAATCATTTTATTATATTTTTAATACTATATCTTCTGTTAAAGGGGGCTCTGTCAAGGGTAACATTTTTTCATTTTCTGGTTTATTGTTTGCTGAGTTGCTGTCTTTTGTGTTTGACTATATTAAATTGCATACTTGAACCAAGATTCTAAAAACAAGTTCAGTACTAAAGTTGGAGTCTTTTAGACAAAGAGCTAATAAGAGAATTCTGTCCTTTGATTACCTCGGATATTACTGACTGATAAGACAAAACAAGGCAATAATATGGAATACGGAATCTGAACACAGACACAAATACAAGTTGGCAGTTCCTGGATGAATGTTAAGTGACTGTTGTATGAAAGCCTCAACATTTAAACACACTACAGATGTTGCAACAAACAAGATTGTCAAACCACAATATCAAGAAAAACCGAGAAGTATTGAAGCAAGGCTCAGAGTGCTTGATGATAAGTTAGTCTTCAAAAGATGATGTCAAAGGAGCCCTTCCTGGTGAACTTACCTGCAAGAATGCAGAGATCAAGAAACCAACACACTGAAATGTATGCCAAACCACCTACGGAAACCGTCCAAGAGCCATGACGCACTAAAAACGAGAGAATAATTGGCTCAATATCTATTATTAATCTGACGCTCCAGGCTGCTGGGCCAGAGACACTGGGGTTCCTCGTATGCACACAGCTCCTTCACCGATAAAACACAGTCATACATGGCCATGCAGATTGCAACTGACCCTGTCTGTCCCTACCACACTAGCAATAATTCATCCATGGTCAGAATCAGAGATGCCTCTGTGCAGCAATTACAGTTCATCACTCTGGTGTCTTAATTATTGGTCTGAACAGGCTGGGCATGGTGGCTCATGCCCATAATCCCAACACTTTGGGAGGCTGAGGTGGGTGGATCACTTGGGGCCAGGAGTTTGAGACCAATCTGGCCAACATGGTGAAACCTTGTCTCTACTAAAAATCCCGGCTACTGGGGAGGCTGTGGCACAAGAATCGCTTAAATCCAGGAGGCGGAGGTTGCAGTAAACCAAGATCATGCCATTGCTCTCCAGCCTGGGTGAGAGATCAAGACTCTGTCTCAAAATGTGTGTGTGTGTGTGTGTGTGTGTATTTATACATGTGTATATATGTGTGTATACATATATATATATGAACAAATCAATACATATATATTTCTCTCTGAACAAATCACCTTCTAGCTCCTGGCTTAGCAAATGCAGAAAAATAAGCACTCCCATTTACTGCTGGAGCAGGGATAAAATGGCATCACCTTCTGAAAGGTAACTTACAGTTTGTATTAAATTATACACTGTATATGCCCTCTGATCCAATGATTCTACTTCTTGGACTGTGGCCTAAAGAACTATTTCTAGATGCAAATAGCATTTACTCACAAAGATACTGATGTTCACAGCGGTGAAAAAAATAACGAACAAACTGAAAGCCCAACAACACTGAAACAGTTAAATACACTGTGATATATCTATATACTAAAATGCTGTGAAACCACAATAATGTTGAAAACTACAATTCATGATACACCAGAAAGGTTAACATACCAAGTTACAAAATTTACGTACTGAATGATCTCAATAACCCTTTAAGAAAATAAAATGTTTATGTATAACATATATTTGCACCTGGGAAAATACTAGAAGGATATAAAACAAAATGTTAACAGTAGATAGGTCTGGCTGGTGACATCATTTTTTTCTTTGAGCTTTTCTCTATTTTTAAAGTTTCCCATAATAACTAACTACTGTATAGGTTAATTTTATATTTAGTCATTTTAAACTTTTCACTATGAACATTTTGAAACATATACACAAAATGCAGAAAGAAGAGAATAATGAACCCCATGTATTTGTCATCTGGCGTCAACAATAATCAATATTTGATCGATATGGTTATATCTATACCCTACCATCACTTTTTTCCTAGAATGTCTTAAAGAAAATCCTACATCATTACATTTACTGATAACTGCTTTGTAAGGCATCTCTAACTGATGAGGTCTGTTTAAATAATGTAACACAAAACCACCGTGCCATGATCTCACCTAACAAGAATAATGCCTTAATATAAACTAATATCCAGTCCACGTTCAAAATATAGCTAGTTTCTCCTCCAGATGCTAGTTTACAGTTGGTTTGTTTAAACTGAGATCTGAGTAAGGTAAAATGTGGTTACAAGTCACAGGTCCCATTATGTAATAACAGTCCCTCTTGCCTTTTCTAATTTAATTTCTCAATTATAAAATAGTTCTCCAATATCTTCTGGTTAATAAGAAATAATTAAGAAGACTCTTCAGAGAGATATTGAGGGCAAAAGTTGTAGATGAAATACAAGTAGATTTGGAACATCACAAGTCAGAAGAAATATAAAACACAGATCACGTGTTGCAGAAATTAAGATTAGCGAATTTGTGTACAAGTTACTGTTGCAGTCAAGTACTATCCCAGCCTAGACCTGAGCTTATCTAACTGTGCTTCTTTCTTTTCCTCATACTCTATCATACAAGTGTTATGTTACCTATAACCTCTTATGTTACCTAGAGCCTCTTTAATCACCAAGCTGCAAAACCTTTCTAGCTATGACTCAAAATCTAGAAGCCATAAAAAGATTAATGAATTCAAAGAAAAACACCTACATGACAAGAAGGTAATGTTGAAAGACAGATGACAAAGTGGCAAAGTATTTTCAACTTATATCACAAAGAACAAATTTCCCTATCCTACAAACTCCTAGAAATAAGAAAAGGTAAGCAACAAAATGTAGCAAAGGCTAGAAATGGTTCACAGAGTAAGAAATACAAATGACTCAAACATATATAAAGGGGCTCAACCTCACTTATAAGAAAAATACAATTAAAACTATACTGAGGTACTGTTTTCTTATCCATCAGGTTACAATGTCCAAACTCCCAAGCTTTCATTTTTGTGTTGGGGATGCTGTGATGAAACAGGCATTCTCTTGTGCTACTGCTGGGCGTGCAACTGGCACAACCTCTATGGGAAGCAATTTGACAGGATCTATTAAAATTAAAATTACGCCGGGCGCGGTGGCTCACGCCTGTAATCCCAGCACTTTGGGAGGCCAAGGCGGGTGGATCACGAGGTCAAGAGATCGAGAACATTCTGGTCAACACGGTGAAACCCCATCTCTACTAAAAATACAAAAAATCAGCTGGGCATGGTGGCGCATGCCTGTAATCCCAGCTACTCAGGAGGCTGAGGCAGGAGAATTGCCTGAACCCAGGAGGCGGAGGTTGCGGTGAGCCGAGATCGCGCCATTGCACTCCAGCCTGGGTAACAAAAGCGAAACTCCGTCTCAAAAAATAAAAATAAAAAAATAAAAATAAATTTCCATAAGGGGAGACAGACCCTGTGTCGCCTGAATTTGCAGCTTTAGGGAAAGCAGTTGGAAATAGAATGCTGGTGTGTGCTGACTGCCCCTTGTATGCTTTTAGTGAGCTACTACAAGAATAAAACCATACTGTCATGTTTTTCATAATCTTTCTTCTTAATTTTGGAGGAATATTTCAAGTAATAGTATATCTTATTGAGAAAAAATGTTTACTTGAAGTTATAAGTAAAATGTTTAATATATTTCATTAATACCACCTATTTGAAAAAATTAAATCTATAAAATATTAATCCTACTTTTGTAAAGGTATTTCTACTCTAGAATGACATTCATGGAATACTGTCAATGGATATCTGTGTTAATATTTGAGAGAATTTTTAAAAATTCTTTGTACTTTCACAAAAATTTTAATAAACACATAAATGTTTAAATAAACATGTTTTTTTCCACAAACAATAAAGTTCATACTTTCAAAGGTGAAGATCACAATTATGTTACATAAAAATGTTTGAATACTGATAAATTTTAAAAGCATAGGCTATAAAAGAGTATATCTATTGTGTGGTGGCAAATACATATTTTAAATGAACATGCATAAACAGAAAAGAAGTGGTAACACTTCATCAGTGCTTCAGGGATTAGGGATAAATTTTCCTCTCAAAATCTGAAATGTAATTAGGTTACTTGCACAACGAAAAAAATGTAAAGTAACTAATCATTTTGCTGCTTGTTAAAAATTCTCTTCCTATGCCAGGCACCTTGGCTCACACCTATAATCCCAGCTCTTTGGCAGGCTAAGATGGGAGGATCACTTGACTCCAGGAGTTCAAGACCAGCCTGGGCAATATGTTAAGAGCCTGTCTCTACAAAAAAAAAAACAAAAAACAAAAAAAAAACACACCTTTTTAAGTTCTCTTTTGATTATCCCAATCATAATAAGAATCCCAATAGGCTTGGCACGGTGGCTCACTCCTGTAGTGCCAGCACTTTGGGAGGCTGAGGTGGGTGGATCACTTGAGGTCAGGAGTTTAAGACCAGCCTGGCCAACACAGTGAAACCCCATTTCTACTAAAAATACTAAAAATAGCTGGGCATGGTGTTGGGCACTTGTAATCCCAGCTACCTGGGAAGCTGAGGCATGAGAATCGCTTGAACCTGGGAGGTGGAGGTTACAGTGAGCCAGGACCATGCCACTGCACTCTAGCCTGGGCGACAAAGGGAGTCTTTGTCTCAAAAAAAAAAAAAAAAAAAAAAAAAAAAAATCCCAATAATAAAGGAGTAGGCTTTTAAAAAGTTTAGGATTTCTTTGCCTATCTAGGGCAAGGAGATAACTATTGTGGTTTTGCATAAACAAACATCATGTGCCTGTCAACAAATGATTTAATTTTAAAAAGTGATGGCTGTATTAAATCCAAACTGAAGGTAGAATATAGCCCAGCTTTCATTATAGAATGAAGAATCATCATGCAGGGCATTGGCTGAAATGAAAGGATACCACCCGAGGCACCAAACCTCGCCATGGATGTTCTTGGAAAGACATCTGCTGCTCTGGCACACAAGTGCTGTCTCCAAGGGCCAGTGCCATATGCACCAGCTGGTGGATCCTGCTGCCTCCCTGCACATGTACGGAAGCCACGTACCGAACCTGGTTCTCCAAGAAGTGCATGTAGCGGTAAAGCAGCGTGTAGGAGGGAGAGAGGATGCCCACAGACTTCATCCGCGCGCCACGTTCCAGCTCGCTCTCCACGGGCATGTTGGCAAAGCAGGCCAGGCCAAAGAAGGGCCCCTTTCGGAAATAGCTAGAAGAGACCAAATGTGTAGTGTAGCTCAGTATCAGAGAGAAATTTTGAGATATAATCCTAAACAAAACCAATGAACTCTCTGTCTGGGGCTGTAAATGACAAAGCTCAGCCTCAAGGAAACACGTAGGCCAACTCACTTGACCTCACCAGTGAGATGACCAAGGCCTGAAGAGATTACAGGGCTTGCCAAGGGTCACCTGGCTGGAGCCGGGACTTGGTCCTGGCAAGGTTGCTGCTTGGCCGCCCACGATCATGGACACATTTCTTCTCTCTGCGCCACAACTAATGTCTTGGATGGGAGAAGCAGAACCAACATTCCTCTTCAGGCTCCTCTGGAACTAGGACTCTCTTTCGTAGCATAAACCACAATGATTCTTCCCTTACTTCCTGAGGCTCTGATATTTTTAACTGAGCTGCCATTTTATTTCCTCCTCTTTCTCACACTTGTATCAGTCATGAATTCAGCCCCATGAGGAGATTAAAGCCACTTCATTACCCTTAAGCTCTTTCCATTGTTCCTTCTCACAAAACTCTCCAATACCCCACTGCACAGGACTAAAAAATAGCCTTACTTAAAGCTGGAATTTCAAGGTTGAGCACATAGATGTCCTCGGTTAACTCACACGGGGCTGAAACTGCACACTTTCATTAAAACCAAACCTCAAGTGAGGTCCATGTAATTTCTGAGAAAGTGAGAGAACCTCCACGGGTAGGGATTCCTAAGATTTTTAGGTTATGAAGCCTGTTGAGAACATGATGAAAGCTAGACATCTCGCTAGAAAAATGATGTAAACACAAAACTATCCACGTATTTTCAAGGTATTTATACATAGCATATGAACACCTCCTAACAGGAGCCCCTCTGCTTTGGGGAAAGTGTGGAGGTGGGGGGAATGGTACAAAGAAGACTCCAGTTCGGAAGTACTTACATGAAATCAGACTGGATTTTATGGGACCCACTAGCCATAGACTTGAACTCAACACCTTCAAGGTCAATATCTTGAGGTAAGCACCATTCTACCATGTTTCCTGCAGGAAAAGGAAGATACGAGTTAAAAGAAACAACATCATTCAAAGAAAATGGCTTAGACACCAGAGGACCCAGAGGTGGACACTGAAGGAATCTCCCATCTCTGCCCTCAAATGAACACTGTTCTCCTCTCTCATGAAGACACTGCCTTTCTATCATTCTGCTCAAACACTTCCAAATCTGCCTTTCGTGGCCTCACTTCTGTGCATATTTTTTTAACCTTCTGCCCTCATTTCCGTATCTTACGTTCTCTCCTTAATCCCTTGAGATCTTGATTCTATCTATAGCCACTAATGACTGGGAAAAATCCCAAAACATTTTTTAAATTCTCATTCTCATTTACCTCTGGGTAGCATTTGCTAATCCCTCAAACATTTCTCCTCTTTTTCCTAGATTTCCATGACAGAATACTATTTTGGTGCTTTTCCTACCTCTCTGATTAATGTCACTCTATTTCCCTCCCTCTCTCTCTCCTCTCTCTCTCTCTCTAAGTAAAATCCTTTTTCAAGGGCCAATGATATTTGCTTCCAGAATTTGGGGACTCATTAACTCATCATTAATTATTCTGTTTCTCCTGAGCTAGATGCTGGAGATGCAAAGCTCCTGACCGCAGTGAGATTAGATTCCAGAGACAGATGAGGAGGGCTAGAGATCAGTTGTTACAGTTCAGGTGGATCAACGTTATGACAGAGGAAAAGGTGAGGGTTTTTTTTGAGAGGGAGTCTCACTTTGTCACTCAGGCTGGAGTACAGTGTCACGATTTTGGCATACTGGAACCTCCACCTCCGGGGTTTAAGCGATTCTCCTGCCTCAGCCTCCCAAGCACTGGGACTATAGGAGCCCGCCACCACGCCCAGCTAAATTTGTATTTTTAGTAGATACGGGGTTTCACCATGTTACAGGCTAGTCTCAAACTCCTGACCTCAGGTGATCCGCCTGCCTCAGCCTCCCGAAGTGCTGGGATTACAGGTGTGAGCCACAGGGCCTGGCCAAGGTGGGATTTTAAATGCACTGACAAGCATGACTCAGGCTGTGGGAATCAGGGAACTACACAAAAGCAGTGTTATCCAGAGTCTTGAGAGAACACTATAGAATGCTCCCTGTTGTTTTCATGCCTATTCAAAAGGGTTTAAAGCAAAACACTAAGCTACCTGTGAGATTTCATTTCAGAACAAACTTCTTATTAACACTACAAATCCTAATTTGCTAGGCATTAGAAAAACCATCAATAATCCCAGCCAACAATGCTTTCAGATGATTGTTCAGAGCATCAAGGAATATACAATCTAGTCTCAGGACACGGTAGATATCACAGAGCATTGGCCAATCCCACATTCGATAGCCCAAGACACTTTCAAATAGTTTATTTTCAAAAGAGGAATCATGATTCCGATCATTTAGTCGATTCACTGAAGTGAAAAGCATGAAAAAGGAATTAAGATTATCTCAACAGATGCAGAGAAGGCCTTTGACAAAATTCAACAGCACTTTATGCTAATAACTCTCAGTAAACTCAATAAACTAGGTATCCATGGAACATACCTCAAAATAATAAAAGCTATTTACAACAAACCCACAGCCAATATCATACTGAATGGGCAAAAACTGGAAGCATTCCCTTCGAAATCTGGCACTAGACTAGGTTGTCCTCTCTCACCACTCCTATTCAACATAGCATTGGAAGTTCTAGCCAGAGCAATCAGGCAAGAAAAAGAAATAAAGGGTATTCAATTAGGAAAGGAGAAGTCAAATTGTCTCTATTTGTAGATGCCATGATTGTATATTTAGAAGACCCCATCGTCTCAGCCCAAAATCTCCTGAAACTGATAAGCACTTCAGCAAAGTCTCAGGATACAAAATCAATGTGCAGAAATCACAAGCATTCCTATACACCAATAACAGACTTAAAGAGAGCCAAATCAAGAACGAACTGCCATTCACAATTGCTGCAAAGAGAATAAAATACCTAGGAATACAACTAACAAAGGATGTAAAGGACCTTTTCAAGGAGAACTATAAACCACTGCTCAAGGAAATAAGAGAGGACATAAACAGATGGAAAAACATTCCATGCTCATGGTTAGGAAGAATCAATATTGTGAAAATGGCCATACTGCCCAAAGTAATTTATAGATTCAACACTTTCCATCAAGCTACCTATGACCCTCTTCAGAAAACTGGAAAAAACTACCTTCAACTTCATATGGAACCAAAAGAGAACCCACATAGCCAAGTCAATTCTAAGCAAAAGTAACAAAGCTGAAGGCATCAGGCTGCCTGACTTCAAACTATACTACAAGTCTACAGTAATCAAAACAGCATGGTACTGGTACCAAAACAGAGATATAGACCAACGGAATAGAACAGAGGCCTTGGAGACAACGCCACACATCTACAACCATCTGGTCTTTGACAAATGTGACAAAAACAAGCAATGGGGAAAGGATTCCCTGTTTAATAAATGGTGTTGGGAAAACTGGCTAGCCATGTGCAGAAAGCAGAAACTGGACCCCTTCCTGACACCTTACACTAAAATTAACTCCAGATGGATTAAAGACTTAAACATAAGACCTAACACCATAAAAATCTTAGAAGAAAACCTAGGCAAAACCATTCAGGACATAGGCATAGGCAAAGACTTCATGACCAAAACACCAAAAGCATTGGCAACAAAAGCCAAAATAAACAAATGGGATCTAATTAAACTCCAGAGCTGCTGCACAGCAAAAGAAACAATCATTAGAGTGAGCCAGCAACCAACAGAATGGGAAAAAATTTTTGCAATCTACCCTTCTGACAAAGGGCTAATATCCAGAATCTATAAAGAACTAAAATAGATTTACAAGAAAAAACAAACAAACAAGCCCATTCAAGAGTGGGTGAAGGACATGAACAGACACTTTGCAAAGGAAGACATATATGAGGCCAACAAACATGAAAAAATGCTCATCATCACTGGTCATTAGAGAAATGCAAATCAAAACTACATTGAGATACCATCTCACGCGAGTTAGAATGGCGATCATTAAAAAAATCTGGAGACAACAGATGCTGGAGAGGATGTGGAGAAATAGGAACACTTTTACACTGTTGGTGGGAGTGTAAATTAGTTCAACTATTTTGGCAATTCCTCAAGGACCTAGAAATAGAAATTCCATTTGACTCAGCAATCCCATTACTGGGTATATATCCAAAGGATTATAAATCATTCTATTATAAAGACACATCCACACATATGTTCATTGCAGCACTGTTTACAATAGCAAAGAACTGGAACCAACCCAAATGCCTATCGATGATAGACTGGACAAGGAAAATGTGGCACATATATGCCATGGAATAATATGTAGCCATAAAAAACGATGAGTTCGTGTCCTTTGTAGGGACATGGATGAATCTGGAAACCATCATTCTCAGCAAACTTACACAAGAACAGAAAATCAAACACCACATGTTCTCACTCATAGGTGGGTGTTGAACAATGAGAACACATGGACACAGGGAGGGGAGCATCACACACTGGTGTCTGTTGCGGGGGGCTAGCAGCAGGACAGCGGGGTGGGGGAGGGTAGGAAGTTGGGAAGGGATAACATGGGGAGAAATGCCAGATATACGTGATAGGGGAGATGGAGGCAGCAAATCACATTGCCATGTATGTACCTATGCAACAATCCTGCATGTTCTGCACATGTACCCCAGAACCTAAAGTGCAATAAAATATACATTGGAAAAAAAAAGAAATTAAAAAAAAAAGACTTCATAAAACAGAAAGGGTAGAATAATGTTATGTTGTCTGGGTCAAAGATAAGAAAAAGCAATCAGAAACTGAGAGAAGTGACCTTGGGGAAAAGATGAGCTTTTTAAGCACCAGGTTCCCCCACACTTTCCTATTATTTCCCATCTGCCATCCATGTTTATTACCTCTACAGTCCAGTGGTTTTGTTTCCTGTGGAATGCATCAGGACAACTAGGGAGCTTTAAAAGGTGCCAGGGGCTACCCTAGGTCTACAGAATCACCATCTTCCCTGCCCTGCCTCAAGGTGATTATGCTGATGCATGCCAGAGATAAGAGCCCCTGCTTGGGCCTCTGTGCACAGGCTCCTAACCCTTTACAGTGGCAGTAGATGGTCAGCAGAGGAAAGGGACAGTCTGGGACAGAGCTACAATGACCCTCGATAGGCTCTGTCCTCCTCATACTCAACTAACCTGCTTCTTCTAATACTTACTGCCTTGCTTACCCACACGCCACGTTACTGGGTTCAGCTAGCTCAAACTTAGCTCCTTTCCTCCAGCCCAGCCTGCCCATGACTACTCAATGTCTCAAAACTTTATTTACCTAAGTGTTGTACTGAAGTATAGCACAAGTATAGAAAAGTGCACAAAGATGTTTACTGCAGCCCTATTCACAATAGCAAAGATATGAAATCATCCCAGATGCCTATCAATGGTAGACTGGATAAAGAAAATGTGGTACACATACACTGTGGAATACTACGCAGCCATTAAAAGGAACAAGATCATGTCCTTTGCAGGGACACGGATGGAGCTGGAAGCCATTATCCTCAGCAAACTAACATGGGAACAGAAAACCAAACACTGCATGTTCTCACTCCTAAGTGGGAGGTGAACAATGAGGACACATGGACACAGGGAAGGGAAAAACACACACTAGGGCCTTTTGGAAGATAAGGGGGAGGGAGAGCATCAGAATACATAGCTAAAGCATGCAGGGCTTAATACCTAGGTGATGGGTTCATAGGTGCAGCAAACCACCATAGCACATGTTTACCTATGTAACAAACCTGCACATCCTGCACGTGTATCCTGGAACTTAAAATTTAAAAAGAAGAAAAATACACAAAGTATAACTCAATGAATTTCCCCAAAGTAAACATATTTGTATAACTAGCACCCAGATCAAGAAGCTGAAAGAACATTATTTGTACATCAGAAACCTCCCTCATAGTGCCTCCAAGTCATTAACCCTCTCTCATGAGTAACTATTATTCTGATTTCCGAAACCATGAATTAGCTAAGCCTCTTCTGAGTTTCTACAAATGTAATCATAGCTCGTATTCTCTTACATCTTTTATGTCATCCATGCTACTATGTGTAGCAATAGTTTGTTCATCTATTACTTTATCATATGCATGTAGCAGTTTACCTGCTTAACTGATGTACATTTAAGTTACTTCCAATTTGAAGTTATAGCAACTAGCACTGCTGTAAACAATCCTGTATTTGCCATCTGCTGAAATAGCATACAGTGGCTTTGTAATGCACTAACCTGGGCGGGCTGAACTATCCTCCTCAGAATTCCCTTCCTTGTATGTTTCCAGCTGAGATTTAGAAGTGAATCAGCAGCCATGTTATGTTTGTAAGGTCGGTGCGGAAGATCCACTGCATAGTTGCTTCTCTGCAAGCTTACCACAGTGGTGAGAGGCAGCAGCCAGTCCTGGTGATGCTGGAGCCATCATCCCTTGATCCTCCTTCAGCTTCTCTGACTCCTAAGCCAGGTATGTGTTTAGTTCCATAATCAAGGGCCTCAGCTTCTCCTTAGGACACCCACATATTCAAAGCTGGAGACAGTAACAGCCTCAGCCAAGTTCCCAACTAACCTCATAAGTTACAGCTTCTTATTCTTCCTCTTCCACCTCTTCCTCTTCACAAATTTACTCTCTTCCTTCATAACCGTCTGCCCAGAAGACTTCAAGCTCCAACATCACACAAAGACAACAGCCTTATATAGATTGTCTAACAGCTCCCACAGTTGCATAAAATCAAATCCCTGTAAGAAATTCCTTTATATATCTCCTAGTTTTTCTGTTTCTCTGATTGAACTCTAACACAGTATGCACATTTCTACTGGCTACTTTCCTAGGAACAGAATTGCTTTAAAAATGTTTGCATCACGACATACTAAGGAACTTTTAATGATTCCCAAAGTAGTATTTCCCAAGCTCATGCTAAGAGGGCTTCTGCAAACAAGAAAACAAAATTTTGTGAAATGTGTGGTTTTTTTGGCCAAATTAACTTAGTTTAAACAAAGCTAGACACATTCCTTTACTGCAGAACTTCTCAGAGCCTTTAATATGCCACTCCGCATTGTGAATCTCTATGAGATCAATTCAGTGCTTAATGTTTCCCCAAGTTATCTTTTTTAAAGGAATATCTTAAATCATTTTTAAAGGAGCATCTTAAGAGACTAATTTTATAGAAGATAAATATAAAGAAGATATAGACCTATTTTTTTTTAAAAAAAGATCTATACCAATATTTCTTTTTTAAAAAGAAATAAGGATATGTCAGGTATGCAAGCTGTCCTTCAGAATCCACTCTTCCCTTCTTATATGAACCAGAACCTGCTAGGTTTAGTTTGGTGCATGGCCTTCCAAATGAAGGCTATGTTTCTCAGTATCTTCATGAGTAAATTCTGGTCAGTGTCATGTGGACAGAAGCGAAGGGCACTGCTTCCAGAATGTGCCTGAAAGGCAAGGAGCACTCTACCCTTCCTCCACCCTGCAGCATGGAATGTGGATGTGGTGACGTATCACAGAGGGGATGCTGAAGCCACAGGCCGACGTGGGCCTAGGTCCCTCCCTGGATGACCCTGGAGATCTGAGCCAGTGTTCTAGCTCTAGGCTGCTATTACCTGACTGGCACATGAAAAAGAAATAAACTCCTATCTTGATTACACCACTGTTGATTTGGCTCTCTGGTGTTCATGTCCAACCTACGTCCTACTTAGTACAGCTGACCTAGAAGATAAAGTCCCTATTCCTTAGCCTGGCTCTCAAACCCTCTTCCTTGCTCCTCTGTGCCTGGCAAATTCCAACTGCACAGAAACAGAAAGAAACAGAGAGCGCGAATGACATACTGTTAGTTACATCCTTCACTTCTAGGTAGGCACAAGCCCATCTGGAAAGGTTCATCAGTGGCTGACAAATCAGGAACAGGGCACAGGCTCCAGAACACCACTTTGGGGAGAGGCATCTTTATCCCATGGGAAGCACACTCCTGCTGACACTCTCCTTGAATGAAAGGAAAGTAGGTATAGCTACTATGGCCCTTATCTCTATCTATCATAATCATGTCTTCGATGTCTGTCTCCCCAGGAGTCTGTGAACTTTTACAAGGTGGGAATTTTGCTTGTCTTCACATCTTAACATAATATCATGCCTTATACAGGACAGAATGGGTATTTTTTTAAAAACCAGATTAAGGAAACGCATGTGTTAAAAAAAAAATGATAAATTAGTGTTAATTACCTTCCAAATAGTAATAATATGTAGCTATGTAGGAAAATGTTCTTATTCTTAGAAGGTTTATCCTCAAACACTTAGGAGTGACATATTATCATATCTGTGACTTACTTTCAAATGGTTCAGGAAAAAAAAGGCATATCCATATCTGTATATAGTCAGTTCTACTTTTATCACTTACTGGATTTGTGTCAATGCAACAGATGTACTTGAGAGCAATTTGAGCACAGGGAATTTCACATTCACATTCTATGCAATAGACTCAATGCAATCCCAATCAAAATCCCAGCAAATTATTTTGTGGATATTGACAAGTTAATTCCAAAGCTTACATGGAAAGGTAAAAGACCTAAAATAGCCAACATAATACTACTGAAGAACAATAAAATTAGAAGACAAAGAGTGCACCCAACTTCGAGACTTACTATAAAATTAATCAAGAGAGTACATATTGGTGAAATATCAGACAAATAGATTAATGGAACAGAATAGAGAGCCTTGAAACAGTTCAACAGAAATTAATCAAGTAATCTTTACCAAAGGAACAAAGGCAACGGAGAAAAGATAGTCTTTACAATAAATGGTGCTGAAACAAGTGGACATCTACATGCAAAAGAATGAAAGTAGACACCTGCTATACCCCTTTCACAGAAATGTATTCAATATGGATAGTAGCTAGCCTAAGTAACATAGCAAGACCTTGTCTCTACAAAAAAATAAAAAAAATTAGCCAGGCATGGTGGTGTGTGCCTGTAGTCCTAGCTACTTTGGAGGCTGGGGCAGGAGGATCACTTGAGCCCAGGAGTTCAAAGCTACAAGAGGCTATGCTCACTCCACTGCATACCAACCCGGTTAACAGAGTGAGACCCTGTCTCTAAAACAACAGTAATTTTTAAAAATATGGATAGTAAACCAAAATGTAAAATGCAGAATTATAAAACTTCTAAAAGATAAAACAGGAGAAAAATTTGTGAATAAAGCAAATGGTGCAAAATGTCAATAAACGGGGTCTCTAAGTGAAAGACAGACGGGTTTTCACTGTACTATTATAACTTTTCATAACATTTCAACATGAGAACTGGGCAAAGTAACTGAAATAATAGAAATGTGAAAACACATAAGGCAAGCATAAGGAACTTTGCAAAAGCCAAAAATAATTGAGGCAATGTACCACAGATAATAGGGAGTGAAGGGCTATCAGGGCTTGAGGCTATCCTACATTACAAATGAAAACCAGCCTACATATGGAACTTGTAGAGGCTTAATGGAAAGTGATTTTGCATAATTAGTAATCCTTATGGGATGCCATTTAATACCAGAAAAAAAAAAAAACCCTCATCCTGAATGCTACTTATCCCAGGCTCAGTCTTCACACTCCAAGCTTTTTAGGTTTTCCGAACATCCTCACCGTATTAAAAACTCAGCTAGGGAGCTGAGAAGATTCAACAAAAAGGGTCATTTCATGGCTAGTCCATCAGAGAGAGGAGTCGCCCCTGACAAGTGCCTTTTTCTCCCCTAACTTTCTCTCCCTCCATCTCTGTGTCCTTTCTCACCTTGGGCCATGCCTTGGGCCTATTACAGGTACCTATAGGCACTTCCTAGCCTCTACTGCAAAGACAGCTTCTGAGGAGGGATTCACACCACCAAGAGAGGCACAAATGCGGCAATCTGCATTGTGTACATTCAGCCGGTCATTCAACAAATATTGGTGGAGCATAACTTGGTAGCACAGTCGCCTGCCAGGTGCTGAGCTCATGCAAAGGCAAATACATCTGCATTTAAAGGAACTTGGACTAACAGACTATGAAGCTGGCAGCTTGGTTACCCTGGGAAGGCCAGACGCCAGTGCTGATGAGGATGTACAGACAGTCTGAACCCTGCTACTCCACAGCTCTGAAGGTCAGCCTGACAGCTCTGTGCACCAGGGCCTCCCACAGCTGGGGTTTTATAAGCCCATGGGCTAGGCCAGATACAGGGTGTCCTATCTATGCTGACTACTGCCTCTGTCTTCCAAAACTAGTTCTGTTTAAATGAGAAATGACCAAACCCCCAGATGTCTTAAAATTCATCACTATTTCCTAGGGAGAATGGACATTAACTGCTATGACTGCTGCCTGCTAGAAAGTTCACCTCCAAATATTTAAAATAGAGAAAGCTATGATGTTGAACCAAAACAATTTCTTTTTAATAGGAAATATGTGAAATTTTCTTCCTCCTCTGTGAGGTGACTCTAGAGCAAGAACTTCCTCTTGAGCTCTTCATTTCCTAAGCAGAGACTGCCTCAGCTGGAGATCCTCTTCCAGCTCCTCTGACCTCAGGAGTGCAATTCTGCCCCAGCACATGCCTGGGGTTTTACTCTTTCCATGAGCATCTTCCCATCCGTGTATACATATGCCCTGATTCTAATCAGGAAGTCAAAACAAATCGTTTCAGGAATGAAGGCATGAATCCAAGCGTATTCTAGGTCCCAACACCACATTCCCTTTTTTTTTTTTTTTTTTTTCTTTTTTTTTTTTTTTTTTTTAACGGGGTTTTGTTTTTGTTACCCAGGCTGGAGTACAATGGCGCGATCTCGGCTCACCGCAACCTCCGCCTCCTGGGTTCAGGCAATTCTCCTGCCTCAGCCTCCTGAGTAGCTGGGATTACAGGCATGCGCCACCATGCCCAGCTAATTTTTTGTATTTTTAGTAGAGACGGGGTTTCACCATGTTGACCAGTATGGTCTCGATCTCTTGACCTCGTGATCCACCCGCCTCAGCCTCCCAAAGTGCTGGGATTACAGGCTTGAGCCACCGCGCCCGGCCCACATTCCCTTTATGTAACCGCCTGAAGGGGCCACCAGATCCCACAGATGGAAACCTCCTCCAAAGAGTATTTGGTTCAGACCCCAACACCAGAAAAGTAAATAACCCATGTGAGTTGACTTTGGGTCTTACATGGTTTGAAACAGGCTTAAAACCACCTAGGTTGAGGGCACATCCAAAGCAAAGAGAAAAGCATCTAGATAAAGAATCCTGAGTCAGGAAGAAGCTAATCCTGGTTATTTAAAGTCAGCTACCTTTCAATCCATGACTGAATTCCAATGCATTCACTTTACAAAGAAAGACCTTCCATTTCACAGATCCCATATCACTCTCCACTGAATGGTGGTGTGGTACAGGTAAGAGGTGCAGGCACTGGTGCAGGTAGACTTGGGTTCTGGCCCTGACGTTGAACAACTTAATGCCTCTGTGCACCTGTTTTTCTCATGATTATGGTGAAGCCTGTTGGGAGGATCAGAGGCAGCTGGTTGAAACACCTGGCCCAGTCCTTGGCACACAGCAGGCACTCAGAAGGTGGTGGGTATTAGTTACCATTCTTATATTCCCCTCCTCAATTTCCAAGAGAAACTGACTTTATAGCAGATGGCCACAAACTGACTTCTCCCTGAAAACCACAAGCAGGTGAATCACCAACAGCCTGGGAAAGATTCTTCCAGGGTGGGATTAAAGCAAATTAACCACAATTGTATTCCACTGGCATCTGGTGGAAATACAGGGGAAGGATGGTGACATGACAGAGTTTCTCCTCCTGTGAGACTTTCTTGCCGGATATTAGAACTGGCTTTGTCTTTGCCTGCATTTGAGCTGTCCATTCTTAGGATTGCTCCTCGCATCTTAAAATTGTCCTCCAAATTTTCCATTTGCATTTTACTTTGTCACTTTCCCACCCATTGCTGGAGCTATTTATTATTTGCCACGAGTCAGATGACCCGGGCAGCGCTCCAAGTTGTGCCTCAGACACCAGACCTTGCCCTAATCTCACTGGGCATCCATCGTCTCTATTGTTTTTTTAAAAAATGCTTATATTTCATGTACCAAACAGGGAATCTACAGAGATTAAAATTAGTGTGATTTTTAAATACACCCATTTGACATAAACATAGAAGCACTTAGGTACAGTAAGTGAAATAGGTGTTTAGATGTAATTTCAGCACTGGCTAGAGGCTGAGGGAAGCACAGGTAGAAATTCATTCCCAAGAAGAAAAGGAGAAAGATCTTGAAAACCTCAGCAGGTGATCTGCCCCTCACCCCACCCCTCTTCTTGCAAGCTGCCCCAATACAAACGGAGCACAGGAATTTCTCCCAGACATCCACAATAAAACTCTAAGTGCAGCAGTGTAAAGTGAATATCATAAACAGTCTAATGAGGCAGATGCACAGATGTCCAGACATTGTATGTCCAAAGCTTCATCAGCCTCCATCCTGCCCACACACAAGTCCTCAGTCACACAGTGATACCGCTCTTGCCACCATCCTGGGGGAGGGGTGTTCCCCAAGTGTGACAATATCCTTTCCTTTAAGCAGACAAGGAAAACTGTACTAGAAACCCAAATAACAAAAGTAAAATTAAAACCAAGGCTCTAAATCATGAGGATGAACAAAATGAAACTGCCAACGTCTTCCACCCAGCTTGCAGAGTAGCATCTGGCGCTGGTTTCAATAGCAGCTTTGTGGCTCAGATGATCAGCACCACCATCCTAGGGCTCCCTGCTCCGGATAAAGACTGAGTGTATGTGTAAGCCTCACTTTGAACCTGAAGACCCTGGTTCTTAAGTCATTTGTAGACTCAGCAACCATAATTTTCAATTCATGAGTCTGATGGAAATAAGCTTTAAGACTCTAACTTTCTCTGATTCTTCCCACAGATGCCCAACCCAGCTTTCCAAAACTTGTATCCAAAGGTGCAAAAGGATTACTCTCGTATTCCCACGCCTTAGTCAGAGAATCACTGCATACATGCCCGCTCACATACATACACACACACACACTAACAAGAATCCACTCCTCTCCTTTTCCCTCTTACATGTACCACAGCTATGAACTCTCTCCTCCCTCATTGATGCTCTCCCTCTCTCATGCACACACTGATTTGGACACAGGCCAACAGTTACCCACATGATGTGGGAAAATGCACAAAATGCCATGGCCTGGGCAGTAAGTGACAGGGAGGTGGTGGGAGGGTTGGGGTGGGCATGGGGTGGGGAGGAAGGATCTTCCAGGAGTGGAAACTGAGGACAGGTGGGAAAGATATGGGGAAGCTGCTAAGCAGGCAGGCCAGCGAGAGAAAATAAACTGCAGAAAAATCACACCTAGGTAAGAACTTCTACAATATGCCCCAATTTTGGTAAAGGAGTCAATATTCACTTTACTGCTTTTGGCAACACAGGCAAAGGAGGGGCACAAGTCTGGGTGGGCCAATATTAAATAGGAACAAACAGCAGATCTGCCTCAGCAGTAGAGAGGGGAAGGTGCTGGACCAGTGATGCCTCCAGCTCACTGTGGGCCTCACTCCACGGGAACCATCACACAAGGGGTACGTACATCAGGCATTCTGAGGACCCTGTCCTAGTGCTAACCCTTGAGGCCCTGGGAAGCTCAGTAGCATTGATTCACTACATATCCTACTTTTAAGATATATATAAAATAAAATTACATGCTACAAGGTCTATCAGAGAATTTTATGCTACAAGGTCTATCAGGATGCAAAGTGCCATTTAGGACTAGGATAGATGACAAAAGAGACAAACACGTTTATGGGCAGGAAAGGACTGCTTTCCCTCCACCAAAAAAAAAAAAAAGTTACAAGCACTCCCTCTCACACTGCTAGCACTCCTGCGCTCTCTCTTCCTCCCACATCCCCGGATAAGGAAGGATCAGAAGCCAGAAAGCAGGGGTTCAGGCAGCATAGTATACTAGTAAGATGAACACTTTAAAAAAAAAAAAAAAGAGAAAAGAGGCCGGGTGCGGTGGCTCACACCTGTAATACCAGCACTTTGGGAGGTCGAGGCTGGTAGATCACGAGATCAGGAGTTCAAGACTGGCCTGGCCAAGATGGTGAAACCCCTGTCTCTACCAAAAAACAAAAACAAAAAAATTAGCCAGGTGTGGTAGTGGGAGCCTGTAATCCCAGCTACTCAGGAGCCTAAGACAGAATTGATTGAACCTGGGAGGTGGAGGTTGCAGTGAGCTGAGATCACCCCACTGCACACCAGCCTGGGCGAGACTCCATCTCAAAAAAAAAAAAAAAAAA